AGAGGTGTCGCTTCTACGAAATAATCTTTGACTTCTAAGTCCGAATCAGTCGTATTTAAAATAGTAATATTTATTCTTTTATTTGGCTTGATAGAGACTATGCAATTCGCGATGTAAACACCTTCACTTAAGGTTTGATCTAATACGAGTGCTTCATTGTTCTGATAACACTCGGGCTCGTAATTAGATATCGCGCATTCGATTACGGCTTCGGAGCGCGCGGGAATAATGTATGTGGGCTGGACAAAGTTTAAACTTAGGATATCTCCGCCTAAATATAATATTTTAGAATTATAATTAATAACAACATTATGATAGCTTAGAAAATCACTGCCTATGATGCCGTCATAATCTAAGTTGACGTCATCGTTAACGAGATGTAATTGATAAGACAATATATTATCAGATAATATAAAATCCATTTCGAATGTGCCTAGAGTTACAGAACAAGATTCTGTGTTATTAATCCCTTTTATTTTGATTATTTTATGAGATAAATCAGGCGTCTATTTTATACTTGATTTCTTTATTAAACTTATGCTTGCACCAGTATCTACGAGAAAAGATAAGGGTTCCGTAGAGTAACTCGAATTTAAAATTATATGAGGCAACGATATTTTCTTAATATTTATAGTAGTTTCATAAATAGATAATGAGTTTTTATCATCACAAGAATCAGTGTTATTTACGTTATTGGTTAACTTTTTACGATTATAAGATATAGTAGGACTCAGCTTGTTAGAATTAGTAAAAGATTTAGGAGATTGAGGCTGAGATGTGACATCACTCGAGCTCATGTCTCGGGATGTAGATAGACTCTGAGGCTGTCCCTGCAGAGATGTATAAGATTTAGGATTACAAGATTTAGTAGATTTAGAAGATATAGAATTATTTTTCGTGTCATTCAATAGAAATTTTGATTTCGGCAGACACGGCACCGAAATCTTATTTAGTTTAAATTATTGTCGCGGGAATCGAACCCGGACTCTTGCGTAATATGCAACCTCGCGTCACTACTGGTAGTTGCACGCGGCGAATGATAGTCACGTTGCGCTGGGTTAGCGTTTTCGCGACGCTGCATGTTATACTGCCGCTTACGGCATTGTTCTAGCGTGTGACCTATATTCTTACAATAATTACATTTTACATTATTAGAATTATAAGGAACGTGATAAGATCTGTGGAACTGAGATGTATTTTTGGGAGACTTTTTATGCTTATAATAACATTCAGATGAACTGTGCCCTGTTTTATTGCATATGGAGCACTGTTTATAAGATTTGGTGAAACTAGATTTCGATAAATTAAATAATTTCTCCTCTTCAATAGCATGTTGTACCGCCTCATTTAACGTTGAGGGATTTCTACATCTGACTATATTCGATATTGAACTACATAACCCTAACATGAAAGTATTAAGAGCAAGGTCCTCCATGGCGGCAATCCTGCCAGGAAGCTCATTCCGATCCTTGCAACTATAATGTATATCAGATAAAATTCTAGTTAAAATAGTTTCTATCCTTAATGAATATTTAGTAACATCTTCACTATGTAATTGCTTACAATTTTGCAGATCGACAAGTAAATGTGTAGAGTGCTTTTTCTCGCCAAATGTACTCCTTAGAAATATTTTAATTTCGTTCCACGTAACAAAAGTTTTAAGGCTACACGCAACTTGGGCTTTGCCTTCTAGTTGCGAAATTATGAATTTACAAAGAACATTTTGCTGTTCTGGGGTAGCTAAAGACATAGCATTATCGCAGTTTGTAAGGAAAGCGGGAAGTGATTCCCTATCACCATTATAAGGTTTTATAAATTTAGTAAGGACTGAGAGGGTGATTTTTTCTGCCTTCTCGGTCGACCCAGATTCAGAGCTCTTAGTCATCTTAGCAAGTTCTGATTTTAAATCTGCCTCCATTAAAATAAGATATTATAAATGTTATTAAGTTACAATATGAATCTAATATAAGTTTATGTGTAAAATATTGTATAGGAAATAGAAATAGCACAAAAATAGTAAATAAAACTTTAGACACTCACAGAAACACTACGCTCACTTGCATTTTTCACAAAACACGTGGCTGGAGACTGGGGAAGGTCGCGCTACTTAGCGCGGGAGCTGGCGCGGCGAACAACGGCGCGGCGCGGTGGCGATCACGTGGCGACACGTGGTTGGTAACCACGTTGTTGGAGTTACGGAGTGATGATGGATGTGGATGGTGTGGTGAGTTAGACCGGCTGGGCAGGTGCGGGCTCACGCTGCAGAGCGGAGACTGATCGTCGACCTTGCTGGAGAGGTACTCGGAGTTGGTGTGGTGGTGCGGGCTCACGCTACAGAGCGGAGGCTGACCGTCGACCTTGTGTTCTGCTATTAGTGGCTGATGCAGGCTCAGAAACGCGCTGAGGCTTACTGTCGATCAGTCCACTGTGACGATGACGCGATAGTAGCCTAGGGTTTGGATTCCAGGACTTCAACGGAAGCCACTTACGGAATCCCACTTCTGACACCAATTTGTTAGGCGGCCGGCGCTGATCGTCTTTTTAAAAAAAACCCAAAATTCCCGGATATGAATTTAATGATTTTTGATATACACAATTACACACGCGAACTCGAGTACCAAGTCCTGAGCTACCCGGATGGACCGTTCTTTCCCGTTGCCAAAGTCTAACTGCACTGTGGGAATTGATGGAATAATGTGAGGGCTGCGTTAATGCAACTCTGCAGTTTAATTCTATGGAAAATTACAGTTATACACGTTTTGTTGAATTAGCATTCTATGGTTACTAAGTCGGGTTATAACAGTACCAAAGGGCAATGCCCAAAATAATATTAAATTAAAATAATACGATCACTTTCTTCTACTACTTAGTTATCTAATGTCACATGATCGAAAACGGCTGTAATTCGTCGAATTTAAGTTAGCATCACGTCATGTCAGCGAAGATGGCTATGATTGGCTCAATATAAGTAAGCATCACGTCATTTCAGCGAAAACGGCTAAGAGTGGCCGGGCCAATTAATGCGGACAAGGGCTGACAAAATTTATACGTCAGAGTGAAAAGTTGCACTTAGAGCGTAGGTTTGGAACGCAACCAAGCTATTAAAAGAACACTGCGTTTTTCCTTTAGACATTTGGTATCATGCATGTGACGTCGCACGCCATATTGCGCAATATTATTTTTTCGCGGCATATTTAAAGAATAGATGTTTATTTTCGATTTTATTTAATTGTGTAACAGAAAATGTATCTACCTAGTGTCTAGATACCGAATTGGTAACATAATGACTTCGAATATTATAGATCGTTGCGAAAATTACTTATTTGTGCTTATATTACCTTTTTTCTATCACGACTACTTCAGATTTAGTTGACAAAATACATACATCGCCATTCCATTACAAAGAACACGGTACATTTCATTAAATTTCCTACATTTCATAAACTGCAGATCAAGATTAGGCTTCCTACAATCATAGCACTTCATCGATATTTTCGATACATATAAAACCCATTTTGGTACAGATCCGTACGAATGAATAAGTTCGTTTCTCAGAAACAGTTCTATAGTCGTACTAAATGATCGTAGCAAGGCGTGGTTTGTAGACGCAGTTACACGTTAAAGATGTCTAATTTTAAACTTCGCTACGCACTCATGCGGCAGGTGTTGAAGATTAAATCCTGGAGCCAAAATAAAAATAGTTCCACTTTTCATTGATGGATTCCTCAAATGTTTTTTTTAAGTCTTAAACGCAAAATGGGCGAAGCTCCTAAATCCAGACACATTATAATTGTAATAAGATAGCATAAGGGACCACGCTGGACTTAAATTTGTTTATAATTTATAAACCATAATACCATAGTTAAGATAATAGAAATATTGATTTAAAATTAATAATGTGCACATGAATTTTTCTCATCGCTCCATTGTGTTTAGATAAATCTCCTAATGATTCTATAGTAAAGTATTTGTAATTTCAATAGGAAGACCTTCAGTGCCCTAAGAAATATCGTTTGTGACAAAACTTGCATTGTTATCATCGTGGCCGTCGATGGAGAGAAAATGAATGAAAAGATTTCCCTTACAATAAACTGTCTGTTTAACCATCATAAAAGATTTTTCTAAAATATTAAGATGAATTTGAAATAACTTAATGGAAATTATTAAATTTTGTATCGAAAATAATAGATCAAATCATTATCTGAATAAAAAAGGCACTAGTGTAGGGCTTCCCTTGCTCACTCCTATGAGTCAACGTCTCTATTAGCATTAACTTCGTTTTACATAGTTCAGTGCTAACCACTATATTGCTATTTTCAATTGCCATCCTCATATGTGCTTATTCATCTTCCAAACCTTGTAGGATGAGAGCAGCTAAAAGCTCATCATATATATTACCTAACACCATTTTACAACGCGCTTTCATTATTTTTTGCATTTGTGTTCAACGACAATTACCCTGCATTTAAGAATCACAACTCCATAGTTGTTGGATAATCGATTAAAACCAGTGAAGGTCTCGAAAATCGTCTTTGAAAAAAATGTAACTTAAATCAGTGTTAATTATAGTCTCTCGTCTGACATTCAGCTTGTGCTGAAGTGGTGGTGGTTAGTGGCGGTCCCAATGACACCCTCACTCCACCATTAGCAGCCGGTGGAGCAGGGTTAACGACCGGTTCGCGTGATTCCACACCACTTTACGCTTATTTATACGATGAGGCAAACAAACCAGACCGACATTCGAATGTTACATCGCCCGCGACATATCAAATTTCCATTATCTATGAGTTGTTTTTATGTTTGAAAAAGTTTTCAGTTGTTTCACTGATGTGATAAACTTATCTATGAGCGTGTTTTAATGATAGAATCAATAGAATCAATCAATATGGGAGGCCTAAATTGACAATCAATAGTTCCTTGCGTAGCGACATTTATAAAGCGTTTAGTTCTAATAAGGTGAAAATGCTGTCTACAGGTAATCATAATATCTATTGTTTCAGGTACGATGAGAAAGCGATCGATACCCGAGCGGCGCGGCCGTTAAAATCAAGATCCCGCTAATAGCTTGACAATTAATACAATGAAAAAGCTAAAGGACGGAGAATCTGTGAGCGCCAAGGTGTCATAGACAAATATCCGATGTCGGGGCGAGCGAGCGCATAGACAATGCGAAACCTCCTCGGAGTGGCCACAGCGTCAGCGTTACTGCAAATATTATTCTCCTTTGCAGGTAAGATTGCAAAAACATTTAAAAAAATAACGAGTAGCATAAGTCATATAATGTCCTTGATTATTCAAACCATATAAAGAAGATATGAAAACGCTTGCACCTGTTGTAGTTTGTTGAACTTTTAAGTCGTTTGATCGATGAAAATGATCATAAACTAAAACGTTTTAAACTTAGGGTTTCTTTTGTGAGAATACTGTATTAATTAATTATATTATTACTAAGTATAATTTTCTTGTTTTTTATTATTTTATATTAAAATTATATCTATATAAACCTCTTAAAAATTAAGAAAGCATAGAATCACTTATTTTATTTATGATACTAACCCCTGGCGCAAAAAGAGGAGTGTTATAAATTAACACGTGTACATACACGTGTTAAATTTATAATACTCCTCTTTTTGCGCCTATGATGTTATTTCACAACTACCAAACAATAAAAAACTCAAAAAAGATACTTGAACATACTTCTATTGCGTTGTTATTATCCCAGCAGTATGTAACTAAGTAGCCAGTTTTCTCATACATAATGTACTAAAAACAGATATTGCAATACAGTGGAGCCCCGGTAATCCGGCCCCTGGCTAATGCGGCACCCCCTATAATCCGACATCCCCTATAATCCGACATCGTCTATTACATACAAGTATTCGCTAATTCACGATTGAACAAGTTACAACTTGTACGCACCATCACTATTGTGCTCGACGCGTAGGGTATTGTTTTATATTTTTTTGTAAATTCTATAGCATTAATGACGTTACTTTTATAATAAAACGTAATCTTTCTATTGTGTTGTTTAATTTACTAAATTTGACATACATAACAAAGAATGATTTGTAATCTTATCATTGGATCTGTAATTTGTCGGATTACAAGGTACTCTTTGGGTCTTAGGCAGTACTCTATAATTAGGGCTGCCATCTCTAAAATGTGGCAACCAGGATAAGACGCGTGATAACCCCGGACTTTGGAGCCCAGAACCCGGACAGATCAATAAAAAACAGTTAAAAATATCACAAATCAACTTTTTAATGATGATCTAGGCAAAAGAGCTAGCGGTCTACCTCATAATAAGTGGTCACTGCTGCCCATGGAGACTTGCAGCACCAAGGGCCATTCATGCGTTGCCGTAAATTTTTAAACCCGGACTACAAATAAAAGCCCGCCCGGACGCTCCCCGGACGCCCCGTAAACTAGGACAAATCCGGGAAAACCCGGACGGATGGCAGCCCTATCTATAATCCGACAAATTCGATAGTTCGACACTGCCCTGCAAAATGTTTGTCGGACTATCGGGGATCTACTGTAATGCATCTGATATTGAGGACCGATAATAACGCGCCTATGTAGGAGAGGCCCTAAAACACAACAATCCTGTAGTGTAGTGTTTTCAGGGTTCTTGTAAGTGTCCTAAGAGATAGTAAAGTTGTAACAAAAGTTGAAATTCCTATATGATTCCCGAGAGCACAGCATGGATCTTTTTGTACGTACTATCAGATGGGAAAAGAAAGCGGCATGTTCCAATTTACTGACGACACATTGTTTACTCCCTATTCCGTCGAAGGTAAAATCATGGTAAAATGGCGTCAGGTGAGGTCTAAAGACAGGCGTCAAGCGCTCGGTCGCCGGAAGCAGCTGTGTCGTCGCGTGCTGTTTGCCAATTTATCACTAAGCTGATTATATATAGGCCTGTTCTTGCGACGTGCTTTATGACCGTGTTTGCTCTCCTATTGCTTCACACTCCTTTGTGTGCACACCTTTTAAATCAAAGACAATGGAGGTGCTATATTTTTTTTTATAATAACACAGTGTTGTCTCGCAGGATTCGGTAATGGGGGTTGTGTGATTATTTTAATGGTATTAGTTCACTTTTGTTATCGCAAAAGGTTTCGTTTACAAACTGAATGAGTTTATAGTATTCAAAGATTATGATTTTATTTATTTAATTTTGAAGCATAATTTTATCCATTTTGAATCGCCACGATCAATAGATCACATGTTTACAGTGTTAGATACTATTTATTATGAAAAATGTTAGAGATTAATGGAATATTTATGTTACTAAAATTATACTAGGTAAGGTTTATTTCTAATATGAGCTAAACTGAAAGTAATGAATGGCTTCTGCTGTAATTTTCTTGATCATAATAGATGTGATCATAAATTAGTATGCAAATGCATCTGCTAGGATATTATTAAAACTTTTTTTATGGTAACCTGTAAATATTCTGAATAAAAAACTTAGCATCGAAAAATAGTTTGAGTACTTAATCAAATCAAAATTTAATATTTATGAAAGATTATTTAGGGAACACATCGTCCATTTGCTCTGCTAGAATGGGCAGCGGTCTCAGATTGCATTTCAGTGGAAATGTGTACATTAGATATGAACATAAATTGCTGAAAAGAACACAGGAGCACAAAAGGCGCCCGCAAATTGTGTTTTCAGTGGTGTATGTTTGGCTCAGGTGCGGCGTGGCCTTAAGCCAGCCAGCCACACTACGCCAAATCCGAGCGACTTTAATTTAACTTTGCTTCACCGAATTATTGTCCTTGGCTGCATTAAATTTTGAATTATGATCTTAAAGCAAAAGCATGCACTTCATCTGAACAATAAGAACTTTTGCGGGGGAAATGAATCAAGATTTTTCGTAAAAGTCTAATACGAGTATGGAAAACTTCAGTGTAAGATTTCGATATCGCAATAACTTTGATATAAAACTGATAGAAGTGTTTGGCTGGTCATTCGGTCAGACTCTGGCATGATTGTCTGAACCAATTTTTTAAAGAAAAATATCCTTGTCATACTCAAATATAGATAGAGAATAAAATACTGCCAAATGTAGTTTTAAGTCTAGAGAATCAGGCCCACTTTGTACGTGAAAGTGGAAGCTGTAACAGCACTAATAGATATGGCATCATGTTTAGTGTAGCTGAAATCATGGTTCGAATACTATGTATTATGTATAAGTTACATTATTGCAAATTGCTATCTTGTTAGTTCTGTGCAACAATTATTTCGCCTTACTGACGAAATTATTTGCGGGTGTCATTGTTAGTGCAAATGCATACATTTGTTATAGGTACTACCTATGATATTTTATAATAGATACGAGTATGTTACGTTCATAGTAATTGCGTTAAAATCTGTTACGAGTTCCAATCAATTCAATTCAATTCGTTTATTTTATCAGACAATAATACAGTCCATTTTGTTAGCAACATTTGCCCTTACAACTATATTAGTAAAAGTATTCAAAAGTATTAATATTAAGAATCAATTCCTTCTATAATAGCTACTGTTTACATAATTGCATTTCATAAGATGAGATTTCATAAGATGTTACATAAAAATAAAATAAAATAAAATAAAATAAAATATGTCAAAACAAAATAAAATGTCAACATAAAAAATAGTCAATGGTAAAATTGAAGATATTAAATTTATTTTGTATTAATTATGATCTAGTTCTATTACATTTTATTCTTTTGATGATGCAAGTCAGTAAACCTATTAAAAAGTGATGAATCCAGCCGTTCAGCAATCAAACCTAAGACTCCATTACTACTCCCCCGAACTCTTTGCATTAATGAGGTGGTTTTCTTGCGGATAATAGCATAAAAGTCATCTGTGTGTGCGTCCATAAACATGCCTGATGCACTGCAGTATCGTGGGAGGTGCAACAGAGTCCTAAAGATATTATTATATTGAACTCTTAAGGCATTGTACGACTTTTTAGTAAAAGTGGTCCAAAGGCTGCAGGTGTAAAAACTTTGGCAATATGCCTTGAATAGTGTCAGTTTAACGTCTGCAGTACATCGATTAAATTTGTGTGCTATCATATTGCCACGGACCGATAATGCCCTCTTTTCCCTTTCAATGTCAAGATCATCATTCAATTTTTCAGTCAAGACATGGCCTAGATATTTAAAGTGAGAGACACGATCTAAGGTAACATTATTTAAAGTTACAGGCGGTATATTACTAGGTGTTTTGTTTTTTCCTGTGAAGATCATAATTTGGCTTTTCTTAACATTATACCTTAAACCATGTTGTTCAGCATATTCTTCACATATTTTAATGAGTTCTCTTATGCCGTTGATCGAGGGGCTCAGCAACACCATATCGTCCGCATAGCTTACATTGTTTACACAAATATTATCAATTCTGCATCCAACATGCGTATTGCTGAGTCGTTCGATCAACTGGTTTATATACAAATTAAATAATCTCGGTGAAGTGAGACCTCCCTGCCTGACACCGCAGCCCAACGCATATTCATCAGAGAAAGCATTACCCCATTTCACCAGATTCCTTTGATTACCGTACCAGTAGCGGAAAATGTCTATCACCTCTTTTGAGACTCCTGACTCGCAAAGCTTGGCCCAGAGTAAGTCATATGATACCAAGTCAAAGGCCCTTGACAAGTCTAGAAAACATGCATAAATAGGTGTTTTCCTTTTAATGTAATAATCTATTGTATGCTTAACAGTAAGAATTGCGCTTTCAGTGGACAAGCCATCCCGAAATCCAAACTGGGAATCCTGTAGCTTTATATGTTTGCTCAGATGAGCATCCAAAGCCTTATCTAAGACCTTGGCGAGAGTGGTAGCTAGAGAAATGGGTCTATAATTAGACTTGTCACTTACATCTCCTGTGGGGTTTTTGACTAGGGGTACTACTATAGTTTTCATAAGCTCAGGCGGTAAATATGCATGACGGACGCAAAAGGTATAAAGCAAAGACAGCAGCCTATGGATGTGAGGACCGGCATATTTCAGATGCTCAATACTTAAGCCATCGTGGCCAGGTGACTTTCCCCTGCTCATATCTTGAATTATAACAGCCACTTCCTTGCTCGTTATTCTGAAAGGTTGATCGCTGTGCATTTGGGCGGCGTTACAGGCATAGGGTGGCTGCTGCGGTGACTCTACCACAAAAAACTGCTTGAAACTATCGGCAATAGCCTTTGGATCATTGGCATCATCAACAGCAGC